GAGGTTTAGCCCGGGCCTGGCAGGAACAAAAAGGGTCTCGTCCGCCCGGCCTTTCCCGCCGGCCAGGGACCAGGCCCACTCCAGGCCGCTGTACGGAGGCGCGTCGGGCGCTCGGCCCCGCCCTCAAGTTCGCTTACGCGCACGCGCACTGCCCGGCTCCGGAAGGCGCCCGCGAGAGTTGACGTTAGCCATGGAAACCGGGAGTGGACCCGGGAGAGAGCGCGGCGAGCTCTTTGTGGGACCGCTACACCTTTTCTGCCTTCGCCTACCCGCCGCAGCCAGCCACACGGCTGGAGCGCCTAACCCGGGTTTACCTGCAAAAATGCAGCGCCCAGGATGCCTTCGCGTCTTCTCTCTGCTCAGGTGACTCGAGGTATGTTCGAACCCCGACACCGCTCTGGAGACTTGGTCGCCTTAATTTCCCAGCTTGGGCTGAACGACAGTGTTCTTTGCGCTTTCATTGCCACAAGGAACAGGCTTTTTGCTCTGCGTTATAAGATCTTTGAGTGTGATCATTGCACTTTTGAAGGTGTACTGTATTGTAAAATGAACTCAGTCGTTAGAGGGAGTCATCCAAGTGTGATTTTAACTTTTCTTCCTAGGCTTCTGCTTCAGACTGCCGAGTTGTCATTCCATTTCTAAGAGACCCTTGCAAAATGGAAATGGGCCTTTGACTCTGATTGAGAGATTGTCTGTTATCCCAATAAAGTTTGCAAACTGTGTCCTTTAGATAGCACTGTACTCTTTCTTGCCTTATCATCAACTAAACCCCGTATGCCCCAAAACGATCTATTCACCTCGCCCTGAATATGAACACCTCCTTACCTGAAGATCCGCTTCCTCCCCACAACCCTTTGACAAGGAACACGACTTACTTAAATGAAGTCTGTCCCCTCAGAAGTTATATCATTCCCCTGAATCGATATCTGGTTTGTACCTGTCATTTTTCACTTTTCACTATTATTGGTGATCGTTTTCTTTGTGAATTTATTCCTGCAATTAGGGAAGAGACCATACTTCATATTATTATTTGATATTCGGTGCCACTCACACCAAATCCCCAAATATCTAGCATCCCATTTATATATTGCCATTTTGACAGTATAAGTGTTTGGGGCATTTGTTGGCTATTCCTAAATTTCCAGTGTGAAGAACTAATGCCTGGTGGGAAGCTTTTCTTTTTATTTTGTAAGAGTTTATTGAAATATAATTCACATTCTGTACAACTTACCCTTTTAAAGTGTACAGTTTATTGCTTTTTTTCTGTATATTCACCCAACTGTGCAACCATTACTGAAGTTTTAGAACATTTTCATCACCCCTGTGCCTTTTAGTGGTCACCCCCCACCTCATTATTCCTATCCCCACCAGACCTAGGCAAGGGCTAATCTATTATGTGCCCCGTAGGTTTACCTATTCTGCACGTTTCCTATCAATGTAATCATAGAATACGTGGCTTTTTGTGACTGGCTTCTTTCACTTAGCATAATTTTTTCAAGGTCCATCCATGTCATAGCATGTATGAGTAATTCATTCCTGTTTATAGTCTAATATTTCACTGGGAAGGTTCTGGATTCTCAGCCCAGAGACTTCCCTGAGCATGCCAGGTTTATGTGTTCCCATGATCTGGAGCTGGGGGTAGGTCATGGCATCAAGACCTTGTTAGGGGTGTCTTTCTCTCTCACTCATGGAATAAATAAATATAATAACAACAACTAAAAATACCTGTCTCTCTCTCTCTCTTCTGTGAGTACTTTCTCATTAAAAAAAAAAAAAAAAAAATCCAGGACCTGCAGATGGCATAATGATTATGGCACTGGAGACCCACATTGTGGACCGCAGTTAGATTCTCAGTCCCTGTGGCTTAAAACTCACACTGGGCACGTGCACGCCCAAGATCCCAGTAGGAGAATGGAAAAGGGATTGCAGTGCGGCCATCCTCCTTGTGAGGTGATTTCTTGGTTTCTGTCTTTGTCTCTCCAGTGATTGCATATGCCCTGTAACAAAAATCTCTCTAAAAAAAAAAAAAATCCAAATCTAATAGTACAGGAAAAAATGTAGGCTCAATGAATGAAATCACCTAATCAATTAAAATATGATAGATTTATTTTTTCAAGTAACCTTTCCCAAACAATTGCTAAAATTTGTTTCTAAGATTTGTGTTTTTTTTCCCTTTCCAAATTTAGAAATATATGTTTAGTGTAATCCCATCAAACTGCTGTTTGTTATTTCTTTCTTTGCTTTAGGGGATTTTTTAGCCTGGTGTCATATGTGATGGTTAAAGTTTTTGTAACTAAGAATTCTTCCCCAGTATATTGCCAAATTAGTCCCTTTCTTACCGTTTTGGGTAATGCGTAAGGAACATGACTCAGATTTCAAATAAAGCAACAGTTCTATGGCTATTTTGTTGGCCCACTTTCAGAGTGTATGCAGAAAGCATATGGCATAAATCAGTGTTGTGATACCATCTTTATTTCTTAAACTCTCTTCTTACCACCTTTCTTCCCTTCTTTTTAATCTGTTTAAGTGAAACCATTTTTCATTTGAACATCCTGGAGATAGCAGCACTATACATGCATCAGTCCTTCTGGGAAGTAACACTTTGTGAGTTTTAGTTATTCTGATTTTGTTTCCTGTGGTAGTAATCCAGGTTAGCATTTAAAAGATTTCTCTGGGGACCAGCAGAGGGCATAATGGTTATGTTGTTGGATTCCCACATAGTCTACCAGCGGTTCCAGTCCTGTGCCCAGCAGCTTAAACCCATGCCAGGTGCGTGTGTGTGCGTGCACACATGCCTAAGATCCTGAGAGGAAAATGGAGGATTGCGGTGTGGCCATCATCCCTTGGGCAGTGGGGGGGTGATTTCTTGCTTTCTGTCTCTCTCTGTCTCTCTGATGAGCTCATGTGCCCTATAGCAAAAATCTCTCAAAAAAAATTTCTGTGTTTAATTGTTAACTGTTGCTTTTTACAAAGAAAGTATTTTTAAATTTTTGAATATTTTCACAGATTTGTAATTAAAATGAAAAGTAAAACAGTACCAGTTTATCATAATTTCTATCATTATAATTCCTCGATGAATTGCTAGCATCTATCTTGTAATTATTTCATCCTTAAGATATTAGAAAAAAAGAGATTTAAATCAGTCCATGAGTCAAGAGTATTTACACAGTAAATATAGCAGTGTTTTGCTGCCGTCAAATTTCCCTTGTAATTTTTTCCTTGTACCTTTATTCAGAACATCCATCCTTGACTGGTATACCATTTCATTTCCCCTTGGCTTCCCTAAATCTAAGCACCTCATCAGAGTCCTGGCCTATATTTTTCAAAATAATTTTCATAAAATGCTGTTTATATGATCAATAGATCATATATCCATATCATGGGAAAATGCGTTCCATGGTCAAATATGTTTAGAAAACTCAAATGATATGACTTAGACAGGTTTATGGTAGTGTTTTTTAAAGATATGTAAAGATATTGGAACCAGCAGTTAGCATAATGGCTATGTCGTTGTACTCTCATGTAGTGGACCGCGGTTTGCATCCCAGACTTGGTGGCTTAAAACTCACGCTGGGCGCGTGTGCGTGCGTGCCCAAGATCCCGAGAGGAGAATAGAGGAGAAGGGATTGCGGTGTGGCCATCCCCACTGGGGGGTGATTTCTTGCTTTCTGTCTCTCTGTCTCTCTCTGTCTGTCTGGGGAGCGCACACGCCCTATGGCAAAAACCTCTCCAAAAAAAAAAAAATAGATATGTAAAGATATTTCAAAGTCTTTAGTTTGCAGAGTTCCAACATGACAGTATGTAGTTCCTCAAACTCCTTTGAGTATAGACTCCTTTTCAAGAGACATTTTATGGGACAAATGATTTTATAGGATTTAGCCTTTCTTTTAATATCCCACCAAAGTAGCTCAGATAATCCCTGTGTCCCTTCCTATGTTTCTGAGGTTTCTTATTGGAAGTTACATTCTTTCTATATTCCTTGGTGTGCTTTCACTTAATTCTTACTTGTTCTTGCCTTATTTTGCCTCTCGTGCCTACTGGTCTACCTCTACCTTTATCTCTCAGTATGAATTAGCAGCTTTTTTTCCTGATGGTGGAAGAGATTGAGTGTGGTACAGGACAGGAAGCAAATTAAAATCAGACTCTGATATCTTGAAATTCTTTATTTCTTCCTCCACAGGAGAAATCCTGCATATTTCTCCTGAGGTTTATCCTGCTCCTATGTTGCTTTAGCATGTACCATTCTAGGAAAAATCCTCCCTAAGTCATTAATACTATTAATACATACCATTATTCATTCAAAATAAAAATAGATGAAGATGCTTTCCAAACATTTTTAAACTAAGAATAACCAGTTTATGAATTTACAGTTTTGAGTGGGTCAGGGTATATTACAAGAAGTTTTCAAAAATGGTAAATACTCTGACCTTCTCTTTTAGATAGCAGTAGGCCCAGCTATGGTGGTACGTGCTACTAAGGTGCTATGCTCTGCAGCCTGGGACCACTAGGAAGCCTGGATTTGAGTCCTGGTCCAACCTAAAAAAGGCCTGATGCAGTGGCATAGGCCTCTAACCATAGCTACTTGGAAGGCAGGAATGAAATCATGACACAGAGAGACCCTGACTTAAAAAAGGGCAGCGCTATATCATGTTTTCCAACTTATTCATCTTATTTAATCCATGTTGTTAATATATTACATTTCTCTTCATGCTGAGATATTTTACTAAATATGGGAAATCAGAAGAATCTCAAGTTTTGGCCCTTACCTACAAATAACTTATTAGTACAGAAAATAAATATATATAAAAAGACAACACATTAATAACTGACTAATATGGGCCCAGCAGATGGCACAGTAGTTACATCACTGGACTCTCATGTAGATGACCACAGTTCGAGTCCTGGATCCAGTGGCTTAAAACTCACACCAGGTGTGTGTACATGCCTGAAATTTCAAGAGGAGAATGGAGGAAAAGGTATTGCGGTGTGACCTTTTCCCCCACCCCAGGGAAGTGATTTCTTACTTCCTGTCTCTCTGTCTCTCCGGCAAGTGCACATGCTATAGCAATAACAACAATTAAAAAAAAAAAAAGAGCTGACCTATGCAATACAAGAAATTACTACAAGAAATGCCCTATGTTAACACATGTTACAAGTTTAGTAGTATAGAATAAGCCCTGTTTTTGGTACATAGAAGAGAGACACAACTAGGACAAAGTGCTCTGCAAAATTTTCAGAAATAATTGCATCAAGTCTTAAAAGTTGACTCCGTTCTCTACATAGGGAATGGAGAAGAGGACGTCCTAGTCAAAGGAGAGGGTGTAAGCAGAGGTGCCCAAGAGGAAAAACACAGGATGTGTTTGCAGGGCATGGGATTCTGAAGAGCATTTGGTAATTTGAAGAGAAGTCAAATGTTATATGTGTGTATATATATGTATATACACATATATATACATATACACACACACACACACACACACACACATACACTCACACAGGTTAATGAGTATCTCTCTGACAATGTTTATTACACATTTACAAACTGTACACAGCCATCTATACAACTGGCATGTGTACTCTTTATTTTTAATACAAATAAAATCAACAGCATGTTTATTTTACTTTTTAAATATATCGTGGGAATTTTTCTGTGTTTCTGTAACAAAAAGAGAACTTAGGAATATTCCACCTTTTGGAATATGACCTCAATGTAGCCTATCAATTGGATAAAAACATTTATACTTTACCAAAGACACTGAAGTACTAAAAGGGAAAAATGAATATGAATAGTAACATGCAGGTAGATAATCTGGTTTATAAGGTATCTTTAACTTCTAACTTCCTTTCCCAGCAAGCCACCCTATCTTGTCCTGAATTGCCTTAATGAAGTCAGAGGGCAAGTTCTGACCTAATTTCCTGGGATAATTCTAGGGATGTCCAGACTCTTCAAAACCCAGGCCATCCATCCAAGTTCACTTTCCTGTCTGATGGCATCTTCAAATACAATTGTTCTTCCTATTACATGTTCAGTTGCCTGCCAATGACCAAATGGATATTTAAGCAGTAATTGACTTTTTAAATTATTAGAATATCCTAAATTTACTATGATTTTGTTTTCTACTTCCGTTTCTATTTTTATTCAAGGGAATTATAGAGAATGTACTTATTTTATAGAATAGGGTTTGGCAAACTATGGTGCACAGGCTAAAGCTGGCCCACAGCCTACTAGGAAAATACTTAGATTTTGTATTAGAACACAGCCACTCAGATCCATGTATGAATTGCATTGTCTGTGGCTGCCTTTGTGCTGCAGCAGCAGAGTTGAATCCTTTTAACACAGACTATATGTGTTCACAAAGTCTAAAAATATTTATTCTCTGGCTTTTTATAACATAAAGTCTGCTGACTCTTATAATAGAAGAAAAAGTTAAAACAACAAAAACCTATTGGGAAATGACCAAATAAACTACTGGCAGATATGAGTTGAGAGGACTGGCCCTTTGAACCTTTCTTTGACCTCAAAAAACTAAAAATAAATGCACGTTAAGATCTAATTCCAAATATTCTAGATAAACTAATAAAGAATGTGATCTTTAAAAAATGAAAAGTAACTTAGCATACTTACTTTGTTGTTCTTAAAAAAGAGAAAAAAACACAACAACTTAGTGTCAAGTATTTTGGGCAATGGGAAGGAGACTGAGAAATGATTTTATAGAGTAACTAGGATAGCTGAAGACTTTCTGCCCAGACTTCACGCTCCTATCCCCCAGATCTAGCCAGGACTAGACTAGCCAATCACCAGTCATATATATTTGAGTTCTGTGCAGCCCCTTTCAGGGACTAGGACAACTGACTTCACCCTCCTGCTCCCCAGATCTAGCCAGATAACCAGAAACCACTGCAAAGGCACAAGAAATATGAGAACCTAAGAAAACATGTCTCTCCTAAAGGAAAAGAACAACTCGTCATCCTCTACAGACAATACAGGGGAACTCATGAAAATGTCAGATAAGGAGTTTAGAATATTCATAGTGACAAATCTAACAGAGATGCAAGAGAAGAGAGATATTGAACTCCAGAAGATGCACGAGAAAATAGCAAGTTCCAGGAAATGAGGAAGTTCTTGTACAATCTGAAAGAGGAAATACACACCATAACAAAGAATCAAACAGAATTGTTAGAGATGAAGGCTGCAATATAGGAAATCAAAACCTTCCTTGGGACCAGCAGTTAGCGTAATAGCTATGTCGCTGGACTCCCATGTAGTCGACCACGGTTCAAGTCCTGGACCCGGCAGCTTAAACTCACGCCAGGCATGTGTGCGTGCATACCCAAGATCCCGAGAGGAGAATGGAAGAGAAAGGATTTCGGCGTGGCCATCCCCCCTGGGGGGTTATTTCTCACTTTCTGTCTCTCTGTCTCTCTCTGTCTGGCGAGCACACGCGCCCTATAGCAAAAACCTCTCAAAAAAAAAAAAAAAACCTTCCTTGAAAGTATTGAAAACAGAGTAGATTATGCAGAAGATCCAATCGCAGATGTAGAAGATAGAACCTCTGACCTAGAAAAATTCACCAAAAAGACTAAGAAAATAACCCCCTAAAAATGAGAACAATGTACGAGTAATTTTAGATACCATTAAATTCCCAAACATCTGAATAATCGGTATCTCAGAAGGTGAAGAAATTAATATGGGTATTGATGACTTATTCCATGAAATACTGGAAGAAAACTTTCCAAACCCAGAGAGGTATTCAAATATCCAGACCCAAGAAATACAAAGGACCACACTTAGAATAAACCCAAGAAGATCTTCTTCAAGGCACATCATAGGCAGATTGACCAAAACCACAGACGGAGACAAGATTCTAAAATTGACAAGAAAGAAATGTCAAATTACTTTCAAAGGATATTTCATCAGATTAACATCGGACCTCTAATCAGAAACAATGCAAGCAATGAAAGAACGGAAAAATATACTCAAAGTGTTAAGTGAAAGACCATTTCAACCAAGAATACTATACCTGGCAAGATTATCCTTCATATGGGAAGAAAAGACAAAAAACATTCTCTGATAAACAAAACCTGAAAATTTACCAACACCAGACCAGCTCTCCAAGAAGTTCTGAAGGGAGTGCTATACCAGGAAAACTAAAGTCAGACACACAGAAATAAGAGTACAAAAAAACAACTAAAAAAATGGCCAGCTTAATGGTAGGGACAAGCCTGGAGTTGAATATTAACTTCCAGAATTTAAATGGAAAAATCAGACCACAGTAACACTGCAGATTCAGTAGAAGAGAGATTAATTACATGAGACTGAACTGGTGAAATAGAATTTTATGACTTTAGACTAAAACATTACTGATTTTCTTCTATACATTGTTTTCCAGATTTAAGGATTTTTGTCTTCTCATGAATTGTTGATAGGTTTATCTACCTGCTATTCGGAACTGAATCCTAACTTTTTTCCTGGCTTTAAGTCTTAAGCAAATTTCTCTTAGCATTTTTTGATTTTGATCTATTAAAACTAAAACCTTTTTTTTGAAATTAAAAAAATGCATTTAAAAATGCCTATTTAATGACTGCAGTAAGCTACATAACCCCAGCTAGGTGCTACTTTACAGTATGTTCATTCTACTCACTGTTTGTTCCTAAAGTCAGACATGCTTTCATAGATAGGTATATATCAACTGTACTTGCTATTGAAGGTATTTAGGTCAATTAAAATCTATAGTGAATCCGTAAAATGTGAAAAAAAAAAATAATAAAAGGCATGGAAAGCAACAGTAGATACCAGAAACTGGGAGGAAGGTGGGAAATGGCAGAGGGTGAGAAATAGAAAATCAAGGGGTCGGGGAAGCAAAATATATAAGAAACAATAAATGTAAAATATTTGTTGACGGTAACATGTATGGTAATATTTTTGATTGAGCCAGTATGCAATGTATTCTGGATGGAAAAATCTCATTTTGTATAGTGTATTGATATACAGTGAATAAATGTAAATAAATAAATTTAAAATTATAAAAAAATTTAAAAAGAAATGATATCATAAACCCTGCCCTTGTAGGAACAAAGGAGATAAAGTAGAAATGTGTAGGGTTTTTCCTCCAGGTTTTAAAAATTATATTTTCAAATAGTGACTTTTCTTCTTTCTCATAGAGATCGCTGTGTTACAGAAAAGGATGTGATTTTCAGAATAATCCTGAGTGAGAAGGATGAGTCCAGATGTGCCTTTGCTGAATGATTACAAACAGGACTTCTTTCTGAAGCGCTTTCCACAGACCATTCTTGGAGGCCCTCGACTCAAATTAGGCTATTGTGCCCCTCCTTACATTTATATTAATCAGATTATTCTTTTTCTGATGCCATGGATTTGGGGTGGCATAGGAACACTTCTGTACCAGTTGGGCATACTGAAAGACTATTATACAGCAGCACTTTCAGGTGGATTAATGCTTTTCACTGCTTTTGTCATCCAGTGCACCAGCTTGTATGCCAGAAACAAATCGGTGCCAGTAGAAAGAATACTAACCACAGACATCTTAGCAGAGGAAGATGAGCATGAATTTACAAGTTGTGCCGGTGCTGAGACTGTCAGATTTCTCATTCCTGCCAAGAAGTACACAGCCAATACAGTTTTTCATTCTGTTCTTGCTGGGTTAGTGTGTGGCCTTGGAACATGGTATCTGCTCCCAAATAGAATGACCTTGCTCTGTGGTAGAGCAGGAGGCACTGCTCTATTTATCTTTGGATGGGTGACATTATGTATAGGAGAATATTCATTAATCGTAAACACGGCTACAGAGACGGCAACTTTTCAAACCCAGGATACTTACGAAATCACGCCTCTCATGAGACCACTTTACATTTTTTTCTTTATTTCTGTGGATCTTGCACACAGGTAAAAACCTAGCAAATATCATAACTTACTTTGTTTTTAAGTATACATGGGAAGAAAGCTTTCCTTCGTAATTAAAAAAAAAGTGCACCTATGGATTAGAAATCATGAAGACCAAACTATTGAGTGATAGGTCGTTCTGATTTATCTTTTAGGACTAATATCTGTAAAACATTAATACTAAAGCAATAGTTAAATCTCATTGAAATAGTTAAAAAAAAACTTAAGATAAATAAGCAGTTTTTATTGTCAGAGCTCATGTGTGCTTGCTAGAGAGAAAGCAAGCACTCCCCCCTTGAAAGGAGTGTTATCACATCACAATCTTTTTTCCTCTTTTCTGCATCCTGTTAGGATTTGGGTCATATACACACATGCATGTGTTTGGCATGCTTTTCAGGCCACCCTTTTTAAGGGCAGGATTCAAACTGCAGTCAACCATGTGGAATCTGTACTGTGGTACTGGCCCAACAAGCAATATTCAATCCTGTGTCTCACTGTAAATAAAGAATTTTTAATTTATAAGATATACCTGCTAAAACCTGTGAAAAATATAAGATAGCTTGGCTAAAACCTACTGGGGAAAATGAAAAATATTATTTATTTATTTTATTTAAAGAATTATTTTATTCAACTTTATTTATTTATTTAAATTTGACCAGAGAGGGACAGATTGAGAGAGAGAGAGACAGAGGGAAAGTGAGACAACAAGCTACCAGGTCTTGAACTCAAACCACAGTCAACTATGTGGGAGTCCAGTGCCCTTAACCACCATGCCACCTTCTAGCCCCAAAATGAAGAATTTTAAATTTGTACACATAAATATTGTATACAGAATGACTGGGTTTAAAATGAATAGAAAACATATTTCTAATTTTGATATAGTCACAGTATATAAATAAAATATTGATTTTTAAGTCAATTTGTTACAGAAAAAAATGGAAAATGTTTTTTTAATATGCAACTGTTTACAAAACTGTTTGATAACCCCTCTTGCTTGTGTTTTTTAAATCTGACTTTTCTTTTTCTGTTGATATAGACTGCAGGTTATTGTCTAAGTAGAAACATTTGTGTCTTTCTCTTTTCAAAGTTACTGTCCAGGTAGAAATGTTTGTGTCTGCCAAAAATTCATATTTTGAAGTCCTAAACCCTACTGTGCAGTCAGGATGTTTGAAGCTAATTATGTCATGAAGATGGAGCCCTTGTGCAGTAAGATCAGTGCCCTTATAAGAAAAGATAGCAGAGAGTTTGATCTCTTTTCCACCTTATAAAGATACAAGGAGACCATCTGTAAGCCAGAAAGTGTGTCCTCACCTGAACCTGAGCATACTAGCAACTTGATCTTGGCAACTTGTTCTTGGACTTCCAGTCTCCAGAACTGTGATGAAACAAATTTATGTTATTTAAAAACTCAATCTCATTTTGTTATGGCAGCCCAAGCTGACTAAGATGTCAGTACTGGAAATGGATTACTGCTGTGACAAATAGACATACATGCTAGAAATACGTACATTGAGGGCAATTCTGATGAAGTCTGAGATGGAAATGAAGAACATGTTATTGGAAACTAGAGGAAAGGCAGTTTATTACAAAGTGGCAAAGAACTTGGCTGAGCTGTGTTCTAATGTTTTATAGAAGATAGAATTTGTGAGAAATGGTAGTATAGGTAAGAAGGTTTCTGAGCAGAGAATTGAAGGAGTAGTTTGGGTCCTCCTGATTACTTACAGTTAAGCTAAAAAGGAGAAAGATGACTTGGAAAAAAAATTAAAATTGCTAAGCAAAAAAAAGCAACCAGAACTAGAATATTTGGGAAGTTTTCAGCCTATCCTTATTATAGACCTTGAGAAAGCATATTTTGAAGAAAACACTAAGTATAGCTAAACTATCACTCAATAAAGAGCTTATGGAATCATATAAGCAGAAACACTGCCAATTTTCATTGAAGGGGGGATGGAGAAGTAAAGGAAGGCTGTTGGACATTTTGGGTTTGACAGGAAGAGGTGATAGAACTGTTCAGCTATGAATGTGGTCTATTCTTTAAGAAAAGGAGAAAATAATGCAAAAGGCAACTCAGAGATCCTCAGGGTTACCACCTCAGTATCACTAGGCCCGATGGCCTCTGCCCAAAGCCTTGGGGACAGGACTGCCTCCTAGAGCTATGAGGGTGATGCTGCCACCCCAGGGGCCTAGAAGGCAGTGTGTGGAACCAAAGATAATTACTCAAGCCTTAAGATCTAGTGGAATTTGCCTTGCTAGATTTGGGATTTCTTGAAACCCATCACCCCTTTAATTTTTCCTGTTTCTCTCTTTTGTAGGGGGACTATCTCTCCTATGCCTGTCCCACCTTTGTGTTTTAGGATTGTGTAATTTGTTTGATTCCAGTGGTTCACAGTTAGAGAGGAAATTTGCCCTTACCACTAATCTCATTCATATTTGATTTATATGGAATTTAAATGAACTTTGAATGAACTTTACAGTTATTAATGCTGGAATGAGTGAAGATTTAAGAGGCTGTTAGAATAGAATGTATATATTTTGCATGTGAAAAGAACATTTTGGGGAGGAGGTTCAAGGTTAGGATATAACAGACTGAATTGGGCTTCCCATAATTCTGATGTTAAAGCCCTAACTCCAGTATTTGGAGCTCGGTTCTTTGAGAGGTAATTAGGTCATTAAGGTTGGGCTGTGGTCTGATGTTATTAGTGCACATAGGAAAAGAGACACCAGAGAGCTTGATTTCTCTGTTCCCACTATATAAGGACAAAGCAAGAAGGTGGCCAGAAATAAATCTATAAACCAGAAAGAAAGCCCTAACCAGATCCTGGCCATACAGGCAGCCTGCTCTTAGACTTCTAGCTCTGGAACTATGAGAAGATGAGTCTATTATTTAAGCCACCCAGTCTATGGTACTTTATTGTGGCAGCCCAAGCTAACTAAGACAGACATTTAAAAATATTTAGCCAATTTGTGTATATAGAAGCTGACCTCTTCCTGAGTGTCTATTTGCTATTCCTCAACTCTTTTGGGTTTTTTTTTTTTTTTTTTTTTTTAGAGAGAGAGATTTTTGCTATAGGGCATGTATGCTGACCGGAGAAACAGAGAAAGGTGAGAAATCATCCCCTAGGGGAGATGGCCTCACTGCAATCTCTTCTCCATTCTCCTCTTGGGATTCTGGACATGAATGCACACACACCCGATGTGCGTTTGAAGTCATCGGGTCTGGGACTCAGAACGTGGTCAGCCATATGGGAGTCTAGCAACTTAACCACCACACCACCTGCTGGCCATAGCTATTCCTCAATTCTATTTCTCTCTTTTTTAAAAATTTTTATTTAATTTTATTGTCGTTATTTTTTATATTTTATCTTTTTGAAGTTGAGCAGAGAGAGACAGAGAGAAGGATAGAGAGAAAGCAAGCTGCTAGGTCCAGGACTCAAACCGTGGTCAGCTATGTGGGAGTCCAGATGCTTTAACCACCACGCCACCTGCCAGCCCCTGTTCCTCAATTTTTTTTTTTCTTTTTTTAGAGAAGTTTTTGCTATTGGCGCATGCACTTGCCAGACAGACAGAGAGAGACCGCAATCCCTTCTCCTCTGTTCTCCTCTCAGGATCCTGGGCACGCATGCACACGCGCCCAGTGTAAGTTTTAAGCCACTGGGTCCAGGACTCAAACTGTGGTTGACTACATGGAAGTCCAGCAACATAGCCATTACACTAACTGCTGGTCCCTTGGCATGTGAATCTTGTGAGTGTGCAGAATTAGAAATATTCTTATAGTTGTTAGGTTCAAAACAGTTTTGTTTTTCTTGGGGACTGAGATTTTTTTTATCCTAGAAAATTCCTGTTATGTTATCAGAAATATTAGCATTTAAACATTTTCCCATGTAGATGAATTAACCACAGTTATCATCTGGGGATGAGTCATACATGCCAAAGAAAATCACAATGGTTACTTCAATTATGTGTGCTTATATTATTTATGATATTCTTGCATATATACATACTTTACTGTGCCATTGCTATTGCTTAAGGACAGAATGAGATTTAGGGGTAGAATCTAATTTTGGTAAAACGTTCCCTTCAGTGTACATTATTTTTATACAAATTATCCCATCTTTGGGTGTGTTTGCAAGAAGAGTGTTGTCTTGAGAAAAATAACTGTATTGATCTGCATATTTTCTTTGACCCTACTGTGGCTTATTGTATGTGGTTTGATTTTCTTTTTTCTTACTTTATTGTTTCTTCTCAGAATGAAATGAATTTTATTTTAAAACAACACTACAGAAAGTATTATCCTCTAATTGAGGATTACATTGTTAACCTTTTGGTCATTAATTGTCTGTTTATAAAACTTTAAAGGGCAGGGGCCAACAGATGGCACAGTGATTAAGGCACTGGACTCTCACATGGCTGACCACTGTTTGAGTCCTGGATCTGGCAGCTTGCCTCCTCACTCTCTCTCACTCTATCTCTCTGGTGAGCTTACGTGTTGTATAGCAAATTAAAGATAATAATAAATTAAATTTTAAAGAAATTTGAGGGACATACATCATGTGGCAGAGCACATCAACTGGCATAGTCCTAGCGCCATGTGAGTAAAACACATTAATATATTAATATATGCATAGTTGCTGTATACATTTGCTTCTGGGCTGTCTTCTTGACCTTGATTCCTAGCAGCTCAGGTATTCAAGGATAATTATATTTTGAGATTTAGTTTTCTCTTTCAGAAGTTATCTGTGGGACACCATAAATAAGTACTCTCTGTTGGTCTTCAAACACAGCATTTGGTTAGCCTCATTCCAAAAAGTTCACAATATATGAGGGGTCTTCAAAAAGTTCTTGCAAAAGAAAAAACTATACATGAATTTCAAAAAAATTTGTGCACCAAAATAAACTTGTACTTTATACAGCTTTGGAAGTTTATTTCTTTCTTCCTTCCTTGAATGTGCATGTTAAACAGAACACTTCTAATAGTGTCTCTTTTTTTGTTTTGTTTTGTTTGTTTTTTGGAGAGCTTTTTTTTGCTATAGGGTACATGCACTCGCCAGAGAGACAGAAAGCGAGAAATCACCCCCCGGGGGGATGGCCACACTGCAATCCCTTCTCCTCCATTCGCCTCTCGGGATCTTTGGCATGCATACACACACATCCAGCGTGAGTTTAAGCCACTGGGTCCAGGACTCGAACGGCAGTCGACTACATAGGAGTCCAGCGACATAGTCATTACACTAGCTGTTGGTCCCAGTAGTGTCTCAACACTGCAGTCCATCCCAAGCCTTCAGCCAGCCCTGGATTCATAGGCAGGTGTTTGCCTGGAGTATTTAGAGAGGTCTCTGGACTTGAATGAGGAACCTTTCTTACCCACACAGAGCGTTGCATTTGACTGCCACACCACTGTCTGGCCTCTGAACTTGTACTTTAATTCCATTTTTTCATTAACTTTAAAAAATTCCCTTATGTTGATAATGTTTATATCTATGATTTTATTAAGTTATTTGAAACAATTTAATGACATTATATTTAATTGGTAAGTGCCATACCAAGTACTACTTTCTTCACTGAAGGTAGAGGCAGTATGTACTTTGTGATAAGATTGTATTGTTGAAGTTTGTGTTCTCAAATCCATACCATTGCTTATACAGTATGATAAATATTAGTTAAATTCCAAGAGTAACCCACAGAAACGTGGTCATAGCCTACGTGTCTGACTTCTGATATTAATATTCTGACTTCAAATTCTGTGACCTGGGAGCAGGACAGCACAGCCAAGAGGAGGAAGAGAAGAACTTTCTTTGCTGTTTACTGATGTGTGAATGTCACAGGCTTTGGCTTTCCCAAAGTTACCTGGTGCCAATTGTAAACATTTAGTTAGGGAGAAATATGTTTGCTTGGCTTCTGTTGTTCAGTTTCACAAATTACTGCATTAAATATTTTTACTTTTCAGTGGTGGCTTTTACTTCTCCTTTTGCATATTTGAGTCCACATGTTCTCGAAATGCTAAGCTTGTACACAATTGAGAAGCTGTAGTTACTGGGCTAGAGGAAGGACAATGGTCACAATTTATATGTGTTGATCATTTATAAGTTTAGACAGGACTTTTCTGGAAATGTTCTTTTTTTTTTTAGGGTGTACTCTGTAATTGTTTGTTTTTGTTTTTTTTTTCCTGGAAAGATCCTCTTCTGGATATTATTTTATGTGATTTTAATGTTTTCTTTTCCTTATAGGTTTACAGTAAATATACCAGCTCTAGAACAAGTGAATCAGATTTTACATATCTTGTTTATATTTTTACCCTTTCTGTGGGCTCTTGGTACCCTGCCCCCACCTGATGCACTGTCCTTATGGGCAATGGAGCAGGTTTTAGAGTTTGGACTTGGAGGCTCGTCTATGTCAACCCACCTACGGTAATTTTTTTTTAAGAAATTTGGTGTCATATGTAATTTATTCTTAAAGGATATTTTTCTTTTCAAATAAATCTTTTTTTTTCTTTTTTCCTCTGTAGGTTATTAATAATGTTTATCGTTTCTGCTGCAACAGCTGTAACATCGTATTTCATTCCCAGCACCATTGGCGTGGTTCTTTTCATGACTGGACTTGGGTTCTTATTGAGTCTTAATCTAAGTGACATGGGTTTTGCCTTCAAACACAGTGTGACCAGTCATAGAACTGGAACCAAATCTAAGTCTTTAAGTTTACGGAGTGATTCCAAAAAACAGTTTACATGGAAAGAATGCCTTTTCTACATCACTATGTTAGTCTTGGCTCTCTTAGAAACGGGTTTGCTGCATCACTTTGCTGATTTCTCACAGATTTCTAAAAGTAGTTCCCAGGCTATCATTGGCTATATTTTGATGATATTACTTATAATACTGTGGATACTTAGAGAAATTCAAAGCGTCTATATCTTTGGAATTTTCCGAAACCCTTTCTATCCAAAGGATGTGCAGACTGTGACTGTATTCTTAGAGAAGCAAACAAACCTCGTGAAGATGGGTGTTGTCAGACGGATTTTACTAACTCTAGGTAGGAAGATAAAATCTACTGACCTGTGTTGCAAATTTAGCTAAGAACTGTCCAAAAATATTATAGAATTCCCACATTTGTGATATTATACTGGATACGAGTATGTGTTCTTTTATATTTTGTGGAGTTTTTATTGTTTTTTTAGTTACTTGTTTAAATGTACTCATGAAAAAAGACCTCATATTTGCCAAAATAAAATATAGTTGAAGGGGTTGGCTCCTTTAGTTAAATTTATCTCTTTGTTTTGTTTTAGTGTCACCTTTTGCTATGTTAGCATTTCTTTCATTGGATAGTTCCTTACAAGGGCTCCACTCTGTGTCTGTCTCCATTGGATTCACAAGAGCATTTAGAATGGTAATCCTAATATGTATTTAATAATATTTTCCTATTGCTAGGTTCAGTTGTGATTACGTTCAATTCTTAAAGTTTCTTAGATTATCAAATTCTACCTAATAAAAGTAGATCATTTGCATACTACAGGTATGGCAGAATACAGAAAATGCTTTATTGGAGATAGTCATTGTATCAGCAGTGCAATTAGTGATCTCCAGTGCAGACATATGGTGGAACAGAAACTTGGATACAGGAATCAGACTCTTACTGGTAAATATGTTTTTTCAACAGCTTTATTGAGATATATTTCATATATCATGAAATTTATTCATTTAAAGTTATACTGCCAAGTGGTATATATTCAGAGTTGCAGCCATCTCCACAATCTAATTTGAAGACATTTTCAACATTCCAGAAATAAACCTAGTATACATTAATAGTTATTTCCCATTCCTGCACTGTGTCTAACCCCCCCCAACCCCCTACCCACGCCAGCCCCAGCAACCACTAATCTCCTTTCTTTTTCTGTGGATTTCCTTACTCTGGACATTTTACATGAATGAAATTATGCAATATATAGTCTTGGGCATCTGGGTTTTTTTGTTTATATATTTTCTAGGTTTATCAGTAGTATGGCATGTATCAGTATGTAACTCTTTTTTATTACCAAATAATGTTCAGTTGTATAGACATATTGTACTACATTTAGTTGATTCATTCATCAGATGATGAATATTTAAGTTGTTTCCACTTTTTAAAAATATATATAGTTCTTTAATGGGAGAGAGACAGGCATCCCCAACAGGGTCTTCATGATGTGATCCATCCCTAGTCATAGCTGGCCTGGATCATATGTGTGTGCCTAGCATGCTTTGGGAAGTTCTGAAACATGAACCCAAGACCATCCCATATAGGTCCAGTTGAAGAGGTTGTGTGCCACCACTTGCCACACTTTTGACCATTAAAAAGAATATTGCTTTGGGACCAGCAGGTGGTATGGTGTTAAGGCACTGGACTCTCACGTGGTCAACTGTGGTTCAAGTCCCGGACCTGGCAACTTGCTTTCTCACTTTCCCTCTCTCTCTCTGTTTCTCTTTGGTGAGCTCACACAATCTATGGCACATTAAAAAAATAAATAAATAAAATTTAATAATTTTTAAAAAATATCACTATGACCATTTTTGTGCATGTTTTTATATGGACGTATTTTTAACTTCTCTTGGGTATATTTCTAAGATTACAATTTCTGGTCACATAATAACTTCATATTTAACAATCTGAAGAGTAGCTGCACCATTTAATATTCCCATTAATAGTGTTTAAGAATTCTAATTTTTCCGTATTCTTGCTAGCACTTATTATCTGACTTTTTCATTGTAACTATACTAGTGAGTGTAAATTGCTATCTAATGATTTTGATTTGCTTTTTTCTTATTGTTAATGATGCATAATTTCATATGATCATGAAAATGATCTATTAAAATGAAAATGTCTATTCAAATCCTTGTCCATTTTTATTTGGGTTAATTTGTCTTTTTATTGTTGAGTTATAAGAATTCTTGATGTTTTCTGCATACCAGTCCCTTCACAGATATATGGTATACAATAGTTTTCTCCTATTTCGTAGAGTATCTTTCACTTTCTTTGTAGTAGCCTTTGAAGTACAAATTTTTATAATTGTAATGAATTGTTTTTTGTTTTTTGTTTTTGTTTTTGTTTCTAAGATATCTTAAAGATTTTATTTGTCAATACAAACTGAACAGATTGCTGCAGTAAAAAACTGCAAATGTTATGAAGAGTCTAATCAGCAATGGCAGGGAGTTCACAATTACATGGCAAGATACTGAACTCAAGTGGTTAGGTTGTAAAAGGACTTGAAAATGTTCTTGTCATTGACCACAATTTGGAATCCATTTATATGCATCTTATTCTTTCCTCAGACCTCAGATTTCAGCCTTGAGTTAAAGGGAAACATTGCTTGGGTGACCTCAAATGACTCTGAAGACTCCAGACAAGGTGCAGGGCCTTTAGACCAATAAGCAGATTACTGGTGACAGTACCTCTTAACTCTGGAGGCTTTTCAGTGGCACACCAAAAAAAGCGGTTCTGTTTTCCACAAGCGGCTCTGTTTTTTTTTTAAGAGAGATTTTACGTGATACCTACCAGAGAGATAGTGAGAAATCACCTCCTCAAGGGCGATGGCCATACTGCAGTCCCTTCTCCTTCATTCTCCTGTAGGGATTTTGGGCACGCACAGACACACACACCCAGCGTTAATTTTTTGTTGTTGTTGTTGGAGAGATTTTCGCTATAGGGCGCGTGCGCTTGCCAGAGAGACAGAGAGAGACATAGAGACAGAAAGTGAGAAATCACCCCCCAGAGGGGATGGTCACGCCGCAATCCCTTCTCCTCCATTCTCCTCTCGGGATCTTGGGCACGCACGCACACGCGCCCGGCGTGAGTTTTAAGCCACCGGGTCCGGGACGTGAACCGCGGTCGACTACGTGGGAGTCCAGCGACATAGCCATTATGCTAACTGCTGGTTCCCCACCCAGCGTGAATTTTAAGTGACCAGGTCTGGCACTCGAACTATGATTGACAATGTGGGAGTCCATCCAGTGACTCAACTATCTGCTGGTCCCAATTTTAATGAAGTTTAATTTACCTATTTTTTTTTTTTTGGTTGCTATGTTTTTTTATTTCAGATTTAAGTTAACACTGCCTGTTCCAGGGTCATGAAGATTTGCTGTGTTCCTTTCTAAGAGTTTAATAGGTTTTAGCTCTTACCTGGAGATCTATGATCTACTTTAAGTTAATTTTTATAAATGACATAAGGTAGGATTCCATATTTATTTTGTCTTATATGAATATATAGTTCTCCTAGCACCATTTACTGAAATGACTTATCTGTCCTCCAGTAACTTTTTGTGGCACTATTGTTAAAAATCATATCATAAAAGTTAGGGTCTATTTCTGGACTACTTGGAGTTCTTTTCCATTCATCTATATGTGTGTCCTTACAGTAACACACATTCTTAGTTATGGTAGCTTTGTAACAAATTTTGAAGTTGGTTACATATCAGTCCTCCAACTTTGTCGTTCTTTTTCCAGATTGTTTTGAAATATAGGACCCCCAAATTTCCATACAAGTACTAATTTCAGCTTGTTAATTAATACTAAAAGGCTTCTGGGACTTTGGTAGGGAATGTCTTAAATCTGTAGATCAATTTGCTGAATATTAGGGGCCAACTGGTGGTAGTTGTTAAGGCACTAGACTGCCACATGGTAGACTGTGATTCAAGCCCCAGACCCAACAGCCTGAAAATCACGCCAAGTGTGTGCGCATGTGTGCCCAAATCGCATGAGGAGAATGGAGGAGAAGGTCCTGTGACACAGCCGTCCCCCCAGGGGGATGATTTCTCACTTATCCTTTCTCTGTCTGTCTCTCTCTGGCTAGCATACATACCCTATCATAAAAACCTCAAAGAAAAAAAAATCTGGAGTATTATCATCTTAAAAATATTAATTCTTGGGACCAGCAGTTGGTGTAATGGCTATGTCGCTGGACTCCCATGTAGTTGACCACGGTTCGAGTTCCAGACCCAGTGGCTTAAACTCAAGCCAGGCGTGAGTGTGTTCATGCCCAGGATCCCAAGAGGAGAATGGAGAAGGGATTGCAGCGTGGCCATCCCCTCTAGGGGGTGATTTCTTGCTTTTTGTCTCTGTCTCTCTCTCTGTCTTTCTGGTGAGTGCATGTGCCCTATAACAGAAACCTCTCAAAAAAAAAATTAATTCTTCTAATTCATGCACATGAACTATCTTTCCACTTATGTAGATCTTTAATTTATTTTAATAATGTTTTGTAGTTTTCACTGTATAAATCTTATACTTCTTTCATTGAATTTATTTCTAAAGTTTGATTTTTTTAACAGAAACTTTATTCAGCTTATTTAGAAAATATTGGCAGAGTATATTTTAGTTGTAAATTCACAGATACAACCTTCAAAGTATAAAGTTGTGTGTATCAAAAATATAAGTAATATTTATAACAATAAGTTACAGATACACACTAATGATAAACTATAATTTCTCAAAAGATTGTAAACATTTTGTACACTAGTCAGTCCTTTCTTTTTGGCAAAGTGAACTTTTGATGTCAAATAAATTAACAGATACACCCTAGAATGAACTATTTCTAGACAATACCAAAAAAAAGTTTTGATTTGTTTTTCTCTTATAAACATACATTTATCATTTATAGTCTTCAAAAATTATTTGGACTTGAACTTTCATAATTTGATAAAGCATTCATGAAACAATCTGCAAACTAGTTTAATGAATGACACTTTTTGGAATAATTATTTAAATTTTATTTATCATTATTATTTTTTAAGTTTGACAAGAAAGAGACAGAGAGAGAAGCAAAGTGGGAAAAAATCCTGCCAGATTTAGTACTCAAACCGTGGTCGGCCGTGTGGGAGTCCAGTGCCTTAACCACTATGCCACCTGCCGGTCCTGACAAATGACACTTTTAAGCAGACATGAGTATCCTAAAAAATTTTTCACACCCACCATCCATCACCCACTCTCTGCCAACCACTTTCCCCCTTATTGTCACTAACATCCACACCTACCCTTTCCATCATTACATCTTCAGATCTCTCAATATCTGCCATAAAGTGCAGACACTGTATAAAGTGAGTTGGGATATACAATGTGCATCTTTCAAAGTCTGCCTTTGCTCAACATTAAGTCTTCTATATCCATCTATTTTGAATCAAATGACAAGATCTCATTGTTTCTTACAGCTGTGTAATAGTCTTTAGTATACTTGTGCCACAGTTTTTCAACCCAATTATCAGTTTTTGGACACAGTTGGTTCCAATAATGAACAGACTGACACAGAATTGAAGAAAGTAATTCCATTTATAATAGTTACAAAACAGATAAAATACCTAGGAATAAATGTAATTAAATAAACAAAAGACCTTTATAAGGAAAACTATGAAAAATTGAGAAAAGAAATTGAGTATGATATAAAAAAATGGAAGGACCCCCCATGCTCTTGGATTAGAAGAATCAATATAATCAAAATGTTAAATCCTACCTAAATTTAACATATATATTCAATACAATTCTGATTCAGTTACCTGAGACAGTCTTCACAGAAATAGAAGAAACATTTACAAAATTTATCTAAAATTTAAAAAGACATTATGTTGCCAAGACAATACTGTATCAAAATTAACTAGGAATCATCTCACTATCCAACTTTAAAATATATTACAAAGCAGTGATCATTAAAACAGCCTGGTATTGGCCCAAAAACAGATACATAGACCAGTGGAACAGAATAGAGAATCCAGAAATAAACCCCAAATTATATAGTCAGCAGATCTTTTATAAAGGATATAAGACAATGCAGTGGAGAAAAGAAAGTTTCTTTATCAAATGTGTTGGAAGAACTGGATATCCATCTGTAGAAAAATGAAACTGGACCCCTATATTACCATTAACTAGAATTAATTCAAAATGGATCAAAGATGTAAAAGATGTAGTCTCTAACTACAAAACTACTGGTAGAAAACATAAGGGAAACTTTTGAAGACATTGGAGTAGGCAAAGATTTTTAAATAAGACCCCTAAAACAGAGGCAATCATCCCTAAAACAGACAAGTAATACTACATTAAGCTAGGAAGCTTTCTCACAGCAAAGGAAACTATAACTAGAGTTAAAGACAATCCTCAGAATGGGAGAGAATATTTGCAAATTATTCCTCAGAAAAGGGGTTGATATCTAAAATAAATAGGACACTTAAGCAACTCACCCTTAAGAAAAAGTAATAATCCAATTAAAAACAAGCAAATGAATTGAATAGACAGCTGCCCATTGAAGACTTACAAATGGCCAAGAGCCATATGAAAAAATGTGTAAAGTCTCTTGTCATAAGGGAAATGCAAATTAAAAATACAGTGGGATATCATTTAACCCATTAGAATGACTAAGATCAAAAACATAAAGAACAACAAGGGTTGGTAAGGCTGTGATGGGAAGGGAACTCTCTTATACTGTTGGAGGGAATGCAAATTAGTCCAACCTCTGTGGAAAACAATATGAAGGTTTCTTAAAAACTTTCAAGTAGAACTTCCATATGACTCAGTAATCCCATTTCTTGGTATCTACCCAAATGATAAGAACATAGTCCGAAAGGCATCATCACGTGCAGCTCCCAATGCACAGTGCTTAATTGCTGTGCGATAGAGCCAGCCCCAAAGAGAAAACACTCTTGTCAGGGTCTTGACTTGCCATGATTCCCTTTCTCCAGTCCTCCAGCTTCTTGAGATCCTGGCTTCCTGGAGACATTCAGCGTGTTTTTCAGGCCAACCTGGGATGCAAACTGTAGTTGCCACATGGCTTCCAACACTGTAGGCCCTAATGTTACAACTGCATCATAGTTTTTTTCAATTATATGGTAAAATAATTATTTCTTAAATTTTATGCTTTGACTTGTTTATCGCTAAAGTTTAAAGTACAGAATTTTTTTTATAAGTATTAGTCTTGTATCCTTAAATCTTACTGTACTCCATTATTCTAATGGATTTTAGTGGACTCCTAGAATGTTCTTTGTATAAGATCATATCATTTGCAAATACACTTATTTTTAGTTCTTAGTTTCCAATCTGAATGTCTTTCACTTCTTTTTTCTTGCCTAATTGCAATGGCTAGGACTCCAGTATATGGTTGAATAGAGGGTGAGAGTAGACATCTTTTTAAAAATTATTTTATTTAATTTTATTTATTCATCATTTATTTTAATTTGACCAGAGAGAGACAGAGAGAGAAAAAGTGAGAAAGCAAGCCATCAGGTCTGGGACTTGAACCATGGTTGGCCATGTAGGACTATCCAGCGCCTTAACCACCATGCCACCTGCTGGTCCCTGAGAGTAAACATCTTACAAGGAAAGCATTTAGTCTTCATTAAGTGTGATGTCAACTTTTTACCACTAAATATGATATCAGCTAAGGATTTCTTGCAGATGCTTTTATCAGGTTGAGGAAGTGCTATTATTATTGGGTTGTCAGAAAAGTCATGACGCATTTTTGAATAGACAAACATAAAATACATCATGACTTTTCTGACAACCCAATGATAATGTTTTTGGGGCTTTTTTTTATCATGAATGGTGTTAGATTTTGCCAAATGCTTTTTTTGCATATATTGAATGATCATGTGGTTGTGTTGTATATTAATATGGTACTTAATATGTTCATTGATTTTTGGTTGTTAAATAAATCTTGCATCCCTGGAATAAATCACTTTTGGCCATGGTATGTAATCTTTTTTAATTGTTGAAGAATTCAGTTTGTCATCTATAAGATGCATGTATGTGTGTGTATCTGGTTTTCCTTCCTTTTGATATCATTGTCTACTTCAGATATCAGTGTAGCACTGACTTCATAAAAGAGTTAGAAGATGTTCTACTCTTCTGTTCTCTGGAAGAATTTTGAAAGATTGATACTGATTATTTTTACGTGTTTTGTAGCATGTAGTATTTTATAGCATTGAAGTCATCTGAGCTTCAGCTTTTTTGTGTGAGTAGTTTTTAAATTACTAATTTGATCTCTCGTAGGTCTACTCACATTTTTTAATTTCTTTTTGATCCAATTTTGGTAATTTATGTCTTCCTAGGAACTTGTTGGTTTCATCTGTTACCTAATCTATTGACCTTAAGATCTATAGCTAATACTCTGTCAGTTCTCTTTAGTGTTATTAAAAAAAAAAGAAAAAAAAAGAAAAAAAAAAGTTTAAACTTAAAAATGTGGTCTCATTTATGGTGAGGTTGGAGAAAATTTAACAAAGAATCACATGCAAGTCGTATTTTCTTAAAAATATTGGAGTAATAATAAAATTATTACAAAGTTTCCCTTATGTGACCTTGAAAATTCATTAAGTCTTTAAGAATAATCAAAAATCATGTTCACATCTCTACAGGTTGGTATCATGCGTGATCGTCTGATTCAGTTCACCTCTAAACTGCAGTTTGCAATGACTGTACTCTTGGCTTCATGGACAGAGAAAAAACGTCGAAAAACAACTACCACTCTATGCATACTCAATATTGTCTTCTCTCCATTTGTGTTGGTCTTCATAGTTTTTTCTACACTACTCTCTTCTCCCTTACTCCCCCTTTTCACGCTTCCTGTGTTCTTGGTGGGGTTTCCCCGTCCTATTCAGAGTTGGCCAGGAACTGTGGGTACTGCAGCCTCTGTGTGTGCAGATACAGTGTACTACTACCAAATGGTCCCCAGGTTGACTGCTGCACTGCAGACTGCAATGACAGCTGGAAGTTTGGGTAAGTAAGTGGGTTGTACTTAAGAAACCCTCACTGATGTACTTACAGTACAACAAAACAATCCTGAAGAATGGCCTTTTGATCCAACCATTAAACATGTTTCAATACTTTGATATGTAGACAAAAAGACTAAATATGAAATGAAAGTATATTTCTGGCTCCTTACATAGTCAGAAAGACTAAATATGAAATAGAAGTATATTTCTTGCTTCTCGTTTTGAGGTTAAAAAAAGTAACAAAAACTACTCAGGGAAAATTTCATAAAGGTGATTTGACAACTTTTAAAAAATATTGTCTTGAATAAGTCCAGGTTAAAGTACCATCACTGAAACATAAAAACATCTTTCTGCCAACATTTCCATGAATTTGTAATGAGTTTGTGTCAAGTAGATGCAATAGCTTAGATCCTTAAAGAGTGAAAGCTAGTGGGGAACCAGCAGTTAGCATAATGGCTATGTCGCTGGACTCCCACGTAGTCGACCACGGTTGGCGTCCCGGACCCGGTGGCTTAAAACTCACACCGGGCGCATGTGCGTGCGTGCCCAAGATCCCAAGAGTAGAATGGAGGAGAAGGGATTGTGGTGTGACCATCCCCCCTGGGGGGTGATTTCTTGCTTTCTGTCTCTGTGTCTCTCTCTGTCTGACGAGTGCACGCACCCTATAGCAAAAACCTCTCCAAAAAAAAAAAAAGAGTGAAAGCTAGTTTCATATAATATCAGATTTAAGAATACAAGGGAATTTGTTCATAGCTTACTATATGTTAAGTAGAGACTTGAGCAGCTTGACCATGTTACTGAACAGGATAGCACAAAAGCTTTGGGTCATGATCAGTAGGGAAACTTTCCAAAATAAGATGTTATGCAGATATTAGCAAAAAATAGATTTTTGATAGGCATGAACTAATTTCAGGAGTTGTAATGCTTTCATCATATGTCAACTACAAATTCAACTATATTGTACTTCTCAAGGTTGGTTTTAGATAAGCTGCAAACTGATGACAATAGCATGTCATATCCTACTATGTGCTTTAGTGCCTGAAACTTTAGAAATATCAAATGACTTCCTGGCAAACTGATTTTAGGCAGAGTAGCAATTTAAGATTAGAAATTTAATGAAGTGTTGGGACCAGCAGTTAGCGTAATGGCTATATCGCTAAACTCCCATGTAGCAAACCACAGTTCAAGTCTCGGATCCGGTGGCTTAAACTCACACCGGTCGCGTGTGCGTGCGTGCCCAAGATCCCGAGAGGAGAATGGAGGAGAAGGGATTGTGACGTGACCATCCCCCCTGGGGGGCGATTTCTCGCTTTCTATCTCTCTGTCTCTTTCTGACAAGTGCATGCGCCCTATAGCAAAAACCTCTCCAAAAAAAAAATTTTAATTAAGTGCTTACTTGAGTTAAACTTATCTAATTATCCATTATATGAGATAATTTAGGGAAAATTTTATTTTAATTTTGTAATACAGATTTTTATGAGTAATTCTGTTTTTTTTTAATTGTTTATTTACTTATATATTTATTTGCCATGATTTTTCAAGCTGCCGGGTCTTGGATTTGAACCATAGTCAGCCATGTAGGAATCCAGCGCCTTAATTATCACATCACCTGATGGTCCCCTATTCTGTTTTCTTATAAGAACTATTCTGTAGTGTTTTTTTGTTTTGTTTTGTTTTAGTTTTGCTATAGGGTGTGTGCACTTGCCAGAGAGAGAGAGAGAGTGAAGGAGAAATCACCCCTTTTGGGGGGATAGCCATGCCACAGTTCCTTCTCTTCTGTTCTCTCAGGATTGTGAGCACATATGCACACACACCCAGTGAGGTTTTTTAAACCACCAGGACCAGGACTCAAACCATGTAGTGAACCATGTGGGATCCAGTGCCTTAGCCATGTGCTGACCCTACATTTTTAATATTTCTACTCAGGTCCAATTAATCATTATTATATAATGCTGTGCTGTTTTTAAAATCACATGTGGGGTTAAACTCATATCTGAAATAGTCGTAAGGTAGAAATTATGCTTTGTTATCAGATCAATTACACTCAACCATTAAGTGTGTTATGAAGTATATATCTTAAACAACAAAAAAAAATGAAATGAGATTTTTTTGTACATCTGATTGGTAAAAATATAAAAAGGTCGACACTATCAAGTATTGACCAGGGTATTGGAAATAAGAACTCTCAAATCCTGCTGCAAAGGAATGTGAATTTGTACAATCACCTTGGAAAGTAAACTGTTACAGTGTAGTAAAGATGTACATATACTATGGCACAGGGATTCCAGTTTTAGATCCCATAAGCCTATGATTCTAATTCTAGAGAAACTCTGATACATGTGTTTTGGGAGTCAAGACCACCCCTAGATTTGCTAGGAGGATGCTCGGTTAAGATTTTGCTATAAATCTTATAGCAAAAGGATTTGAAGCAAAACCAGCAAAGGAAAAGTCATATGAGGTAAAGGAGACCAGGTGCAAGCTCCCAGGGGTTCACTCAGTGGATTCACACAGGTCATGCATAATCTCCCAGCAACAAGTTGTGACATGTGTACTACATTGACTGTTGGAGCAGCTCATTTGAGACTCAGTACCTGAAGCTTTTATTGGAGGCTGGTCATGTGGATATCTTAGCATTTACCAATATTTCAGATTTCTAAAAGGCCAGTATGTGTTCACTGTAGACCATATTGTTTGCACAAACAGGCACAAGAGACTTTATCAGTTAGAGTGATTTCCAGATGCCTGCCAAAGGCTAACCTTGTAAACAGGTCTTTTGGAGGATAGTGGTCTGTCCTATGTTAATTTTTTTCTGCACAGTGTATTGTACAAACAGAATTGCACAAAAATAATTTCTGCAACATTATTTACAGTAGCAAAAAATTGGGGACATCTGAAATGTTTACCAACAGAGAATGAACACTTGAATTCAATTATATTCATACAGAGAATTTTCAACAGCAGTTAGAATGAATGCACTTGAACTGTTTGCAGTCAACATGGGCAAATATCAGAAATATAGTGTTAAGAGAAAAACAGTTTCAAAAATATTTGTACAGTGCCAGAGCATTTTATGTATACTTTTGAAACCATAAAGCATTGATAAATATTTATATGCATGTATATAAATATCCCAAATGTATTAAATCATGAATGCAATGTTGCCTTTTTTTAATACTTAACACTATTCCTAATATATTTAGTATATTTTTAAGTTTTTGTACAACCGTTTCTAATTTGTTATTTTTCTGGAAAATATATCCTTAAATTTTTATTTAAGGATTATGTATGTATTACCACTTACATAGATTACCTCTTCTGATTGCTTTCATGAAGAGCTTAATTGAAAGTCTTCTGATATGTAATAAACAATTGTTTCTATTCTTGACCAATGAGAGGGTAGGAAGATTAGTGAATCAGTTCTAGATGTGTTAGCCATTTTAAAGATTCACACAGCATAATAAAGCAAGTCTGAACAATGATTTTCCTTTTTTAAAAATGTATTTATTTTAGGTCTTCTTTTACCTGGATCTCATTACCTGGGCCGTTTTCAAGATCGTTTAATATGGATAATGATTCTAGAACATGGCTATACTTACTGTTGTATTAACATTAAGGTAATACGCATTTGAAACCTCTACTATTTTTATAGGACCTATTTAAAATTTTACCTGTTATGTGTATATTAAACATTCAGTAGCTCAACTTGAAAGAGGACTATCTCTTTAATTAATTATGAGACATTTAATTAGAGACATTAAAAATTATTTAATTTTATTACTATTATTATTATTCTTTTAATTTGCCAAGGGGCATGTATGTACATCAGAGAGAGAAAGAAGGAGCGAGCGAGTGAGAAAGCAAGCCACCAGGTTCAGTACTTGAACCATGCTCAGCCATGTGCGATTCCAGCACCTTCACTACCATGCCAACTGCTGGCAACAAAACCTAGAGATTTTTAATGTGTATCTCAGTAAGAACATGTTGACAGCAGACTAGCATTGCTTGTATAATAGAGCATGATAACAAAATATACCTGCTTCTTTTTCTTTTTGCCCCATTCCTTTTATCTTTATCTAGATGAGCATCTGAAAAGCATGTATTAGTAAGGCTGGCCAGTGGTGCAGTGTTTAAGGCAGCTGGATCCCATATGGCCAACTGTGCAGTTCAAGTCACAGACATGGCAGCTTGAAAACCCTGCCATAAAGCCCATTGGGTGTGTGTTCATGCCTGCCCAAAATACTGAAAGGATGAAGAAATGGAAGAGAAGGGATTGCAGTATGACCATGTCTCATAAAGAGTGTTTTTTTTACTTTCCCTCTCTTTATCTCTCTCTATGAGTGCATGTGCCTTCTGGCAAAACTTAAAAAAAAAAAAAAAAAGTATTTATAAGTAATATTTTTAACTCCTATATTATCCTCAACCTAGTAAAAATTATCTTTTGACTATTAGTGCTATACCCCATTTATGTCTATCCTTTCAGAGCAAAATGCCTGATTAGATTTACTTATTGTCATAACTTCAATCTCATTTCTCCCTCATTTCTGTCTTCAATTTACGCTAGGTTTTTGATCCTATTATTACAGTAAGACTGCTCTTGTCAGAGTCTTTAATGACTGTCATATTGCTAAATCCAATAACCAGCTCTCTCAGACCGTATCTCATTTGACCTGCAGCAGCATTTGACACAGTCGATTCCTTCTCTTTGCTTGTTCCACTGGTTACTCCTTGTCAGTCTCCTTTGATAGATCCTTCTCTTTTCTTTGACTGTCACTGGATTCCCATGTGGCCAGTCGTGGGGATCTGGTGACTTGAAAATCACCCCAGGTGCACGTGCATGTGTGCCCAAGATCCTCAGAGAAGAATGGAGGAGAAAGGATTGCCATGTGGCCAACCCCCACCCCCGCCCTTGGGGTGATTTCTCTCACTGTGTCTGTTTCTCTCTCTCTCCCTTGGTGAGCACATGCCCCCTAAGGCTAAAACCTCCGTAAAACAAAACAAAACAAAAAAACAGAAACAGGTTCTGAAGGCACTTGTAGTTTCATGAAAGTATAAACATGAATAAACAGCAATAATAATGATAATAATAGACAGTGACCTGGTATGTCCTCACCAAGTGGTTTCCTTCTAAGAAAGTAATCATAATGTGTTCAAAATTCATATGAGAACATGTATATACCAGTCATTCACTTGACATTTATTTGCTGTGTACCCACTTTGTACCAGGTACTGGTTTGGGGACTAGGGATATATTCATCAAAAAAGAGCCGCTTTGTGGAGTTTCTATTATAATTGGAGTGATAGACAGTAACCACATCTATAGGATTATTATGTTATTATCATTGAGAACTGGAACAGAAGAATGGTAGTTAAATTGTAGCTGTGCAATATAATACAGCTGTGCAATATACTACTCTTAGTCTCATATAAAGTGGAATTGAAAGGGTATTAAATCATTGTACATTCTAAGTATTTTCAATGTTTTCTCTTTCCCACCAAAATAGTATAATTTAAAAGCATTGGTGTGTGATTGAACCTTGACTCTAGATAGTCTTTTTTAAAAAACAAAAACAAAAACAAAAGAAAAACATTTATTTATCTATTTATTTGTTGGCATTTTTTCAAGCTGCTGGGTCTGGGACTCGGACTGTAGTTGTCCAGGTGGAAATCCAGTGCCTTAACCATCAACTGCTGGCCCCTAGGCAGAGTCTTTTGAAATTGTGTTGATTCTCAACAAAGTTTCCTAATTTCTTGTGGAATTTTCATAACTACTTTCATAGTTATTGCATTACTTTTAATCTCTCTGTCCTATACCAGCCATACAAAGTGCCATTAAGTTTAAATTAAGGTGTAGCTCTTGAGTTAAATGTTTTTATCATTTTCCATATTTTTATAATGAGACTCTATGAGCATTTTCAAGGCTTAGTTGCTGTTCTTCATATAATAAATGATCATAAACTCAAGTACTTTTTATTTCCTCATTAGGGGCTAGAATTGCAAGAAACATCCTGTCATGCTGCTGAAGCTCAAAGAGTTGATGAAGTTTTTGAAGGTGCATTTCAGCAAGAATATACAAAAATATGTTCCCTTAATGAACACTTTGGAAATGTCTTAACACCCTGTACTGTTTTGCCCGTGAGACTATATTCTGATGCCAGGAATGTTCTATCTGGCATAATTGATTCTCATGAAAATTTAAAAGAATTTAAAGGTGACCTTGTTAAAGTACTAGTGTGGATGCTTATTCAGTATTGCTCTAAAAGGCCCAGATTGCAGGAAAATGTTCCCAAAACTGAAAATAAAGGGCAAGAGCCTCTAATAATCCTGCCTGCTTTGAACACTTTACCCCACCCCAAAACCCCTGAAGACACAGATAGTTTAAGTTCAGAAACTTTTGATGATTGGACTGATGATAATATTTTTGATGAGTCATCTATCAGAAAAGGAAAAGTAGAAAAAGATCTGTTGAAAGATTTCCCAAGTATGAATTTGCCTCTTCCAGGATCAGTAGAATCACAGAGGGAAGGTGATCATTCTACAGGCACTATTCGTGAAAACAGTCTTTTCAAAACAGTTCTACTGTGTTACCCTGCTGCTGACAAGGGGCAACAAGAAGACAAGGCATTCGTCCCTCTCGTGGAGTTCACTTGTTCACATTCTCACTTGTTAAGTTTACCTGAAGAGTGGACATCTGTCTGCATGCCTAATTCCAAAATGAAAGAGCTGTGCTCATTATTCCCAGAAGATTGGTACCAATTTGTTTTAAGGCAGTTGAAATATATTCATTCTGAAGAAAAGGCTGCAGACACAGTAGAAGAAATTGCAAAGGACAAAGTTTTAAAAGACTTTTATACTCATACAGTAATGACTTGTTATGTTAGTTTATTTGGAATAGACAATATGATTCCCAGTCCTGGTCATATATTGAGAGTTTACAGTGGTGTTTTGCCTTGGTCTATTGCCTTGGATTGGCTCACAGAAAAGCCAGAACTATTTCAACTAGCACTGAAGGCATTCAGGTAATTCATTTTGACTGTATACAAGTTGTAACATTGGTAGATCAAAAACATTAATTTTTTTAACCACGAAGAATAAAATGTATCTCTTCATTTCAGATATTTTTTATGCCAGAGGGCATGTGTGTATGCACAAGAGAGAGAAAGATAGCAAGAGCACCCCTGCCCCCCAAAGGGTCCTAGTCAGGCCACAATCCTTTTCTTCCTTCCTCCATTATTGAATTCGTTCACTTTAGTGGCTACTTTTTCCTCCCTCAGCTCTTAACCTGGAATATATATATGATTTTAGTTTAATATCTTAAAGATTTATTTGTTTGTTTGTTGTTATTTATTTTTAAATTTTATCTAAAAGAGACAGAGAGAGATAAAGGAAAGTGAGAAAGCAAGCTGCTGGATCTGGGACTTGAACCACAGTCAGCCATGTGGGAGTCTAGCACCTTAACCACTCTGCCACCGGCCAGCCTAGTTTAGTGTCTTAAAAAAAAATATTGATTGAACAAAATATGTCTCGGGGCGGCCGCCCAATGGCCCCGGGGGCTCACGCCCCCGGCGCGCGGCGGCGGCGGTGGCGGCGGAGACGGAAGAAGGCCCCGGGGGCTCACGCCCCCGATGCGCAGCAGTAGCAGCAGAAGCAGCAGCCACGGCACCCGCCAACGGAAGACGACCCGGGGGGCTCACCCCCCCGGCGCACAGTAGCC